GCTCTTCCCGGAGACTGATCTGAGCCCTGACCATCTGCTTCCCTGTCTCCTTGGCTCATGTCTGTCTCACTGGGCAGAAGGGGGGATGCATGAGGGCTGCACTGGTCTACTGACCACCATTGCATGCCCAGTGTCAAAACCGCCCACTGTCAGACACACTCCCATGCTCCAGGGCACGTGGCAAATGCTATTCAGTGCCTGGTGGGCATGGCCCGAGCTGTCTGCAACCTGAAGCCCCCACTTGCCTGCTTCCTCACTCTGTTGCGCCCCAGCCCCCTGCCCACCCGGACCTCCTGCCCACATCCCTGCAGCTGGCGTTCAACACCGCGTTCAGGCCCCCACTCACTCACCATCCTCCTCGAGGGCCGTGGGGTCCAGCTCCAGGTCATACAGGCGGAGGCTGGGCCGGGCAGAGTGCACCATGTCGCCAAGCAGGGGCCGGCTGCCCCGGCGCCGCAGCTTCACCGTCCGGTTGTAGTACTGGGAGATGATGGCCCCGCGGCTGCGGCCTAGGAAGGTGCGTGGCAAAGTGGGGAGGACAGAGTCAGGCCGGACCTTGTCAGCCACCAGGACTGCTCTCAGCACCAGGCCTCCCCTTCCCTCAGGTCTTCCCAGGGCCCAAGAAAATTCCTCTATCAGAGACCTTAAGACCCACTCATTCCAAAAAACCCAGCAAGGCGGCGTGGGGTAGCGCGGGGCCTCCAGGCAGCAGGCGGGGTGGCCCAGAGCCAAAGGGCCTGGCTCAGAGGGGCACAGATGCCCAGGGAGGGGGTCGAAGCCAGCAATGAGGGCAGAGGCTCCAACTCACCGATGGTGCGGCTAGGCATGCTGGCCAAGATGCGGAGTGTGGCTGCGCTGTGGACAGGGGCACCCTCTGGCCCCAGGAGGGACTGGTGACCACTGCCTATAAAAGAAGGAGATGTCCCTGCCCAGCCACTTTGCCCACCCCATGGCCAGGAGGGTGATCTCCAGCTCCTGTCCACTCTTGCCAGCCTCCCGGCCTGGGCTCACCTGGCACCCCCAGGGTTCCGGCCACCAGCTGCCTCTGCTGCAGCTCCAGCTCCTCGGCCAGCTGGCTCTGCTCTTGGATGAGCTGGTGGAAGGAGTCATGCACCTCGCTCTCCTCATAGGGACTCGGCTCCTGGCTGCCAGGCGGGAGAGGACGAGGGGATCCAGGCTCCACTCAGAAACGGTAACACAGCCACCATCCACCAGTCCCCAGCCCCACAGCACTTACTCCTGGTCCCCTAGAGCCTCAGGGACGTTGAGGACCAAGGCCAGTGGCTGGGCCATGTCTGCGGTCCACGCCCAGCCCGTCTGCAGACTTAGGGCAGCTCAAACCCTGGACGCCACCTCTGGAGACTCCCACTGCCCATCTGATGAGACAGAGACAAAGGCAACCCTCAATGCCTGGCACACATCCAAATGGCCTGCCCCCTCTCCTATCCCCCACCCACAGGGGAGTGACCCCAAGTAACTCTCATGCTGAGGAAGAGGGAAAGAGAAAGAAAGGAAGGAAGGGTGTGGACCTGCAGTTCCCATCAGTTTCCTCGATGTCCTCAGTGGTCGCTAGTGCCTGGAAAATGAGGAAGGGGTGGGTGCCTGTGGACGCTGCCCTTTTCAGGCCCTCCATTCCCAGGGTGCTGCCCCAGGGACACTTTCCTCTAGGACAAAGGTCAGGGCAGCTCAAGGCCTGGCCTGTGCCTGCCCTGTAACCCCAAAGCCCTTCCTCTAGCAGAAAATCCGCCAGGCAGCCCTGAACCCTGCCCCCAGCCCCAGCGGAAGCAGCACACAGAAGGGCTCCTGCCCCCACCCACTGAGTGCTCCATTCTGGCCTCCAAGGTCCTCTGGTCCTCAGGAGACTGACTCCCTACATTCTATCACCACTGGGTGGCCATGGGGGAGGATGCTGGGCCCAAACAGGCCCCCTTTGTGTTGGCTCTGGCGTCACCCAGCACAAGTGGAGCCAGGATGGCCCTGTGTGGGGCTGGGCCTCTGGGCCTAGTGCCCTGTGGGAGTGGGGTGCCCGACACTGTTGCCAACGGGCTGACTCTGCAGAACTCCCGCGGGACACAGGCCCAGCCCTGGCCTCAGTCCTCCCTGCCCTCCATCCTCCTGCCCTCAGCCCCGGGGAACCAGGAAAGTCGGTTCCTTTCAGGAGGCTTCCCTGACCAGCAACAGCACAGTCCCTGCAGACTGGTGACCACACTGTGCCCAGCCTAGTGTCCACGACACCTAGGACTGAACAACCCAGGTCCTGCCCTCCCTCTAGTAGAAGCATAACTGAGGGAGGCCACCTAGAGCCTTCAGAGGTGGCCCCCACGGGCCCCAAGTGAAAACTAGCCAAGCAGGGTTGAGGGGTCCCCTGGAACCCTTCTCTTGGCAGACAGAGGTGCTGGGGGCTGCGGACCAGGGTCCCTGGGCTCCCCTGCAGGCCTGGACTTCAGCGGGCGACACCCAGTGCCCCGCCCCAGGCAGGCCAGGTCCCAGGTTTCCTGAGCCGAGCCAGGTGGGGAGCGCCAGGCTGTTTTCAGGAACCCGCACCCTGAGGACAGCGACACTACCGGGCTGCCCCTGCCTCGAGCCTCGCGCGGCGACGGCGACAGGGCCCGCGGAGCAGGCCTCCCGCCCTCGCGCTGCCCGGACTGGGCTCCCGCTCCCAGCTCCGGTGCCAGCCAGAGTCGGCCCTGGGAGGCCCTCTGGGAACTCGCTGCCAAGTGGCCTCGAGGCCGAAGGAGCGCGGCCCGCCGAGCTGCCCGCCGCAGGCCCAGGGCGCCACCCCACCCCACGCCACGCCGATCTGCGACCCCGCGGGGACCCCGCGCCGGGACTCGGGCCACTCACCTGGGAGGCGCCGGGAGGCGGGGCTGTGGCTCACCTGTCCCGCAAGGGCCGCTGGGAATCGCTCTGGGCTCCACGACCTGAGGGAGGGTCAGTGGGAGCGAGTGACAAAGCCCCCCCCCAGGGGGGGCGATCAGTGACTGTCGCAAGCCTGGAGGGCAGAGGGAGCTGCACCGCCAGCCCCGCGAGGCGGCGGGCCACGGTCACGTGACCGGCTCCCTCCGGCTGTGCCCAGCCCCGCTGGGGCACCGGCGCCGACTGCGCCCTCTGCCCGCCGACTTCCGACCCTTCTGCCCGGTCCCTGGATCTGCGCAGGGTGCGGGGTGACTGTCGGCCCCCAGGTTTTGTAAGACGCGGTTTCCCCAAGTTTCAAAAGGGGACAATCATCCAGACCCACCCACTTCCCAGGGCGAGGGACTGTCAAAACCCGAGGGTGCGGAGCCGCGGGGCGCAGCCTTTCCACACGGCGTTGGGTAACCCCTTCCTCCCGCGCCTCGGGCGCGACATCCGCCACACCCCCAGCGGCCGCCAGCGTTATCGCCCCCTTCTGCTCGGGGCGGGGTTCCAGTGGCTTATCTAGTAAAAGTTCTGGCGATTCCTGGGGTGGGGGTGGGGTGGGGGTGGGGGGCGCAGAGGAAGACAGCGAACTTCCCAAGGGCTGCGCCCAGGGCTGGGTTTTCTGTTAGTCCCTAGGAGCAGAAAGGCAGGCACTGACCTTCCTATTTCGCAGATAAGGAAACCGAGGCTGAGAAAGGATGGTCAGTCTCCAGGTGCCATCAGCCAGCACATGGGCCTTGGTCCAGCTGGGAGCTGTAAGCAGGAAACTGACTTTGAGACACCTCTCCCCCAAGCTCGTGAGAAGGTGGAGGGGGCTGAGGCAGACACGTGACTGAACAGGAAGTCGAAGAGGGATGAAAGATGGGGCCCTCCTGGGGGGGAGGTCAGGACTCCAGAGAGCATGCAGGAGTGCGAGGACTTCATGAAATCTGTGGGAACAGGTCCAGGGATCTGAGCTTGGACTGAAGGGAGAGGCCAGGTGGGGCTTCCTCACAGCTGTAGGTGCGGTTCTCAGGTGGGCTCCCTGGGGCATGGAGGCCCAGCCCTGCCCAGGCCCTGTGCCCCTCCTGCCTCTTCCCCGGCCCTTCTCTGCATGCCCAGGCCCATGTGCATGGCCCTAGGTGAACCCAGTTGGAGCAGTGCCACTTCCTGCACACAAGAGCGTTTCAGGATCTTCCCCCTGCTCCCCCAGCCCACTGCGCCCACCAGCAGCCAGCTTGGGGGCTGGCACAGAGTGGGATCTGGAAAGCTGGAGGGGGGTGATCAGGGAGGCAGAAAAGCTCTGGGAGGATTCAGAGCTGGGATGATGGGGCTCTGAAGGAGGGGGACAAGGAGAGGGAGGTAGGGCTGGGCTGCAGAGCGTCCCAGGGGATGGGGCCCGCGAATGCCAGGACAACTCCGAAATGTCCAGCCGGGAGGGGCGCCCCCGGCGCCTCGGGTTGCTACCCGAAGGCTTCTTACGGGCCAGAAGCCAGGCCGGTCCCTGGACCTGGGCCTAGGGTGGTGCCCATGATAGAGGCGGGAAGTTCAGAAATAACGCCAGAGGCCGGGTGCGCTGCTTTCCACCTGAAGGCGACCTGCGGCGGGCAGTTAAGGAGCCAAGCCCTGCACCCCGCCGCCGCTGCCCGAGGGTCGGTCCCGGCTCCCACGCCAAAAGAGGGCGAAGGGGCGCACGCGCTGCAGTAGCACGGGTCCAGGTCTCTGGCCCGACACAGTGCCGCACCCGAGCGTGGCCCGAGGGCAGCGGAGCCCGCGACGCCCGCAGGGAGCCGAACCGGACCCCAGCCGGCGCGCACCGGGCCTGCCCAACCCCCGGAGCCGGCGCGCGGCTCTCCCCTGCGCCCCCGCGCCCCACGGCCGGCAGGAAGCGCCCGCTCGGTGCGGTGGAGGGCCGAGGAAACGGCGGGGAAGGCGGGGGCGAGCCGAGAGGGAAGAGAGGCAGGGGCGGGGAGGGCAGGGTTCCTGTCATGTGACCCCGCCCGCCCTCCCAGCGCTGCCTGGAGTAGCGGCGGCAGCCAGAGGAGGGGGCGCCTCCGTGGTCCCCAGGTGAGCTGGATGCAGAGCCTGGTGGAGGAGGAAAGTGGGGGTGAAATAATTGAGTCTGAAAGGCTGGGGTGGGGTGTCATAACCGCTGCAGAGGCGGCCTTGGGGTCCCCTGCTCCCCTTCCCACGGCTGGGGCTGTAGCCACGCCTCCTCTCCTGGGTCGGGTGAGGGGCCCTAAGCAAACCCAGGCCTGGGAGGCTTGGTGACCAGAAGGAAGACAGAGCGGGGTCCCAGGACGTCCAGAGCTGGGGTGCTGCAGTTGGCCGCATCCTAGAACTGTCCCCAGGGTGTCTTTCCGAAGGGGAATGGCACATGAAGAGGGTCGAGAATGTGGTTTTGCAAAGGGTGACCTGCAAGGCCTGTGGCCACAGGTGACTAGGGAGTGGCCTTGTGACGGGCATGTTCTCTGACCTTTCACCCCATTTGACAGATGGGGAGACTGAGGCCCTGTGCCATGTGTCGCTTTGAGAGGTGGAGCTGGACTTAATTCACATCCTGACCCTGCAGGATTCTCCTTTCACTCGGGGCATCCCTGGGCCAAGGCCCCGAGGCTCACCACCTGGCACCCACATTCTTCCTGGGAGCAGGGGGACTGCCAGGATGCTGCGACAGTGGACGGGGCAGTCGGGGCCCGCCCCGGGGGAGGCAGAACCCCCGCCTGCAGGCGAGGAGCTATGGGAGCAGGAGATGGAGCGGCTCTACGTCTCCCGGGCGCCGTTGCGGACGCTGCCCTATGCCCTCGTGGACAAGCGCTTCATCCGGTGGGTGGCCGGCCGGGCGGGCCATGGGAGCGGAGGGCCTCCAGGTGGCCCAGTCAGATAGAGGGTGGAAAACCCCAGCAGCCCGATGGCGCCCTCTGCCTGGCGGGGTGGGCAGGACGGGTGACTCAGGGGCGCCCCATCGCCACTCCATCCCAGGCATCTGCGGGAGCCGAATGGAGTGAAGAGCTCGTGCTGGCAGCGGTGGCAGCGCAGGTGGCAGATCGCACGACGACGCCTGGGGGAGGCAGCCCACCGGCTGGCCCAGGGCTTCGGGCTCTGGGAGGGGGCTCTCTACGAGATCGGAGGTAGGACCCACGACGACCCCTACTTCCCACCTCCTATCTCTGGGGTCCCAATATCCAGTTTCGAAAGGAAGAGGGCACCACCCCTCCGGTCATTGCCGGGGTCCACCCGCAACGATCAGCCCCTCCATCCTCTCTCTCACACACACACCCTCAGCCTCCCAAAGGCAGGTGCAAACCACGATGAACGGCAGCACCCTCTGGTGGCCCCCGGAGGTACTGCGGGGAAGCCTCGTGCAGGTCAGCGAGCTGGGCACCCCCAATCCCATGTCCTGGCCCAGTCGGATCCTAGTTGGGGCACCTGTGTCTCCCTCGCCCGCCCTGCTCTTCTCCCCACAGGCCTCTTTGGCACCGGGATCCAGTCCTACTTCACCTTCCTCCGTTTCCTACTGCTGCTCAACGTGCTGACCGTGGGGCTGACTGCCAGCATGGTGCTACTGCCCCTGGCCTGGCTCCGCCCCCCGGACCCAGGCCCCGCCCAGAACTTGAGTGAGTACTGCAGCCGCCCCCTGATCCTCTGGGCACACCCTGGCATGCTGCCTGTGCCCAGCCTGGACTACCCTGCCTTGACTTTTGCCTGGCACACTTCAGACACATCCACAGTGTCAGGGTTGGGGCTGGACTCAGGAGGGCAGACTGTTGCCTTTGCCCTTGTCATGGAGACTTCTCTCTATTGGTCCCTCCCCCTCCTCAACAGCCCTGCAGTGCCCTGGCAGCCACCAGCCCCAGATTGGCATTCCGATATTCCACAATCAACTTTGGAATGTTTTAACTGGCAGGGTAAGTGGGGTCACCCTGGCCACGGTCCAGGGGTCCTGGGAGGCTCCTGCCCCATCCAAGGACTCTTGGTTTCTAGAGAAAGGTCTGCCACAGAGGCTGGTGGGGCTCACAATGGGGTCAGAGAGAGGCTGGCCTCCCCTGGGCCTGCTATATGCACAGCACAGACCCACACACACCTGTGGCACTCAGAACACAGCTGGGGTGGGGGTTCAAGGAACAAGAGCCCATAGCGTAAAGTCCAGGCCTTTGGGACTGGAAGCCATCAAGTGGCCCTCAGGGTGGACCCCCAGGCCAGAATCCTGGCTCTGTTCCCCAGAGCTGACCCTGAGCAAGTTGCCTCACCTCTGAGCCTCTGCCAGGTGGGAGCATTCTCACCTGGTGGGTTACCGTGAGTGAGGAGTTCCCCCTAGTACAGAGCCTGGACGGACCTGCACGGGTCTCCTTCCTCGTCCCCAGGCCTTCACCAACACCTATCTCTTCTATGGCGGGTACCGGGCGGCGCCCGAGAGCAGCTCTGCATACAGCATCCGCCTGGCCTACCTCCTCAGCCCGCTGGCCTGCCTGCTCCTCTGCTTCTGTGGGACCCTGCAGCGGTGAGTAGACCCACGCCCCTTCCCAGGGCCGTCTTCCCTGATACCACTCCTGTGGTGGGGACCCCCAAGATAGCAGATAGACCCCCGTTTCCTACTCAGTGAGGCTCCTGGTGGTTCCTCAGCCCCAACTCATGCCTCCCACGCCCAGCCCAGAGCCAGGCCACTGCTAAGGGCGAGGGGGAGGCCCCTCCTACAGCAGTCTGTCCCCCAGGATGGTAAAGGGGCTGCCACAGAGGCTTCTCCTGGGCCAGGACTACAGAGCGCCTCTCAGTGCCAAGGTCTTCTCCTCCTGGGACTTCTGCATCCGGGTCCAGGAAGCAGCCACCATCAAGAAGCATGAAATCAGCAATGAATTCAAGGTGTGTGCAAGAGGGAACCGAGTGTGAAGCAGTGTGCGAATGAATCGTGTGTGCGTGAGGGCATGTGTGAGCAAGTGTGTGTTTCACAGGCAGAGCTGGAAGAGGACCGGCGCCTCCAACTGGCGCAGCAGCGGTCCCCCACCCAGAGGGCCTGCCACCTGCTCACCTTCCTGTGGGTCAACGTCCTCATCGGGCTCCTGGTGGTTGGGGCCATCAGTGCCATCTTCTGGGCCACCAAGTACTCGCAGGACAAGAAGGAGGTACCTGGCAATTGCCTTCCTTTCATTCTGCCAGGACTGAGGGAGGGGACAGGAATCCCACTGTGCAGACTGGGAACTGAGGCCCAAAGAAGTCAAAGCGGCCATGACCTTGTGGTCTGGCCTGTGGATGTCCTGTTGACAGAGCTCTGGATCCTGCCTGTCCCCATGTCATGTCTAAGGGGCCAGAGGAGCTGGGGAGTGGACGGGGTCCTGCTCTGCAGGCTCCTGACCTGCTACGCCCCACAGGAGGACCTGTTCGTGGTGCTACAATATCTCCCCCCAGGGGTCATCGCCCTGGTCAACTTCCTGGGTCCTCTGCTGTTTGTGTTCCTGGTCCAACTGGAGAACTACCCACCCAACACCGAGGTCAACCTCACCCTCATCTGGTGAGCACACCCTCGGGGGCCTGTGGGACGAGTCTGTCTCCTGCTGACCTGGCTGTCATCTGTCACCTAGGGGTCCCAAACCGGGAGGCTCCCTGTGTTAACCACTGCACCAGAGGACAGGCAGGTGGGCTCCCTCAGCCCCGAGGAAGCCTCCATTCTGGACCAACCACCAGCCATTTAGAGGGACAGGGGCTTTTTGTCCGGGAGACATTGCAACAGGCTTTGCCCACTTAGAAAAACACAGCACAGGCACACAGCTCCCTGAGGGCTTTACACCCCTAACTTGACACCCAGCACTCAGCGTGAGAAGTCCCTACCACCCTCATCCCCGTTGGGTGGACAAGGAAATAGCCTCCCAGGGTGAAGTGCCCAGCCAGGCCTGACCTCAAGTTGACTTTGGGTACAGGTTCAAATGCAAGCCCTCCTGCGGCCCATGCTCCTTCCTAGCTCAGCACTTGATCCTGTCTCTGCTCCAAACTCCTCCCAAGGACTCCTCCTGGACAGGCTCCTGAGCTCCTGAGCTCCATCAGGAGCAGCTTCTCCTTCCTCCTGCTACCCGACCCTCTGGGACCTGCTTTTCCCTCTGCTTTCCTCACATCAACTGTGGTTGGCCTTGAAACTTTATTTTTGTAGTAGTTTAGAAATGTACGCATGGGAGCTGGAGATGCAGCTCAGTGGTAAAGCGTTTGCCTAGCGTGCGTGACACCCTGAGTTCAATCCCTAGCATTGCCAAAAAAAAAAAGAAAAAAAAGAAAAAGAAAACTTTACACATGTTAAAAAACTCAAAATGCTTAAAAGGATAAAAGATTTAAAAAATAAGCTCCCGCCCACTCCTGCCTCCCAACCTCCCTCAACTGAAGAACCACAGTTCCTCGCCCTTCTGGCCACACATGGGTACTGCAAATGTCCACCCCCGAAAATAACACACATGCAATGGTTTTAGGCCATCAGACCTACACGGTCCAGTGAGGCATTACTTAGTAAGCACGTGCTGCATGTGCTTATGATATGTGAGACCAGGTCAGCAGAGCAGCAGAGAAAGGAAGACCTTGGGGCCACCGTGCAGCTGGGTGGCAGGGCCTGTGCTTCGCAAGTGCAAATCCCTGGGTTTGAGCCTCAGTACTGCAAAATAAATAATAAATAAGGACAGTCTCACCTGCACTGAGAGGCCCAAGGTTTGTGTCCTGCAGGCTTGTCCCACATGAGTTGCTAAGCTGAGAGGTGGAGTGGGGTAGCGGATTCTGTTGTGTTTCCCAGACCTCTTCCCCATGAATGATCTGGGGTCTCGGATTCTGGGAACACCCTTTGGGAAACACTGCTGTGGACGGAGCAGCTGGAAAGAGGCTGGGCCCTGGAGTTAGAGGGGGCAAGGTGTCTCATGGACTCCACCTGGGGCCCAGCCCCTGACCCAGTGCCTGCCTGCCCACAGGTGCGTGGTGCTGAAACTGGCCAGCCTGGGCATGTTCTCCTTCTCCCTGGGCCAGAGCATCCTATGCATCGGGGGAAACAGAACCAGCTGCGAGGTCTACGGCTACAACGCCTGTGACTACCAGGTAGCCAGCCGGCAGCCTGGGGCCTACCCCTCCCATTCTTCTCAGCAAGGCTCCCCTCCAAAACCAGACAGAGCCCTGGAGACTGCTTGTCCCCCTGAAGTCTCACCTCTGTGAGAAGCTGGGAGCAGAGCGGCCACACCGCTGCCCATACCCAGGGGTTGCTCCTGTTCCACACACGCTCAGGCCATGCAGCCCCCCCGGCTGGGGGACCCAGCTCCAATCTAACCCCGAGGTTGTGTCAGCCTGGAGGAAAGGCTCCTGTACCCCTCAATGAGTGGGTGGGGCAGGGAAGCTGGTGGTGGTGGGTGCTGACCGCCCCCTCCTCTGCACCCAGTGCTGGGAGAACGCAGTGGGCGAGGAGCTGTACAAGCTGATCATCTTCAACTTCCTCCTCACCGTCGCCTTCGCCTTCCTGGTCAGCCTGCCTCGGAGGTGAGCCATGGGGGACCCCAGGGAGGATGCCCCGGGGCTACCGTGGGCATGGTTGGGGATGGCCAGTGGACACAGCCAAGGTCAGCCAGGCATTTCTATGTGGGTGAGGGTGGAATGGTCCCTGGCCATGACTGATGTGGCCCACACACCCCTCTTGCCTGGTGGGCACCTGGACACCCCCTGCCAGGCTGCTGGTAGAGCGATTCTCAGGCTGGTTCTGGACTTGGCTGGACCGAGAGGAGTTTCTGGTGCCCAAGAATGTGCTGGACATCCTGGCAGGGCAGACGGTCACCTGGGTGGGCCTCTTCTTCTGCCCCCTGCTCCCCCTGCTCAACAGCATCTTCCTGTTCCTCACCTTCTACATCAAGAAGGTGAGGGCACCCAGCTGGGTGGGAGCAGGAGAGCTGGGCTGTGGCCTTCAGCCCTCCCTCACTTCCTGGGCCTCAGACTGGGGGCCGCTGCCTGACGATTCCTGCTCACCCTTGCTCACCCCCAGTACACCCTCCTGAGGAACTCCAGGCCTTCCCCACGGCTCTTCCGTGCCTCCAGCTCCACCTTCTTCTTCCAGCTGGTGCTGCTGCTGGGCCTGCTCCTGGCCGCAGTGCCCCTGGGCTACGTGGTCAGCAGGTGAGAGGAGGGCTGGGAGGCCGGCAGAGGCAGCTCCTCCCTGGGGCTCTGACAACTGTCTCTCCCTCTCTCCTTCTCCAGCACCCAATCCTCCCGGGACTGTGGACTCTTCACCAACTACTCAGCCCCCTGGCAGGTGGTCCCTGAGGTGGTGGCCCTGTGGCTCCCGCTGCCTGGCCGGCGTGCCCTCAACTACCTCAGTTCCCATGCCTTCAGCTTCCCCCTCCTCATCCTGCTCAGGTGCTCAGGGTGGAGGACCCCTGGAGGGTGCCCTTTCCGTGGGGTGGAGTAGGACTGGCAGCCCCTGGCCAGTCTCCCGGGATCCAGAAACCAGACAGGAGTTGCCCAAGAGAGGTGGCCTGGGGGTCCTCACGTGCCTCCCTGTAAAGCAGGAGCCTCTGGGCCCGGCTTCCTGTGTCAGGGGACTGCAGACCCCCCCCAGGGGGTGGGAGATGCTGTCTCCCCTTGAGGAGAGAGGCCCCTGTGGTGGGAAGGTGGCTGACCTTGCATCCCTGTCCTCCCCAAGCCTGGTCCTGACCGTGTGCGTGTCCCAGTCCCGCGCCAACGCGAAAACCATCCATGAGCTCCGGAAGCAGCTGGTGTGGGTGAGTGTCCGCTGGGCTGGGGAGGGGACGTGGACTTCAGAGGACACCGTCTCAGGGGTGTGGGGCCTGAGGCCTGGGACAGACCCGAGGTTGTCGGGGGTTTTATCCTGGTGGAGAGCGTGAGCTCGGCTGGGGGTAAAGACAGGTAAGCGGAGGGAGCAACCGGTTTACCTGGAGCAGGACTTGAAGCTCCTCCACCCTCCAGCCTGGAAGCGGGGGCGTGGCCTCTGGCCACTAGAAGGCGGGTCTTGGGAGTGGTCTAGGGCGGGGCCTCTGGTCGCGTTGGAGGCGGGGCCTCAGACACGTCGGGGGCGGGCATTGGAGAGTAACCTAGGGATGGGCGGGGCAGAGCCGGGGCTGGGAACTGGTGGGCGTGGCCTTTGGCTTCGGACCGCCATCCGCCTCTCGCTCTCCCGCAGCAAGGCCGGGAGAAGTGGCACCTGGTGGAGGACCTGTCGCGGCTGCTGCCAGAGCTGGCCCCGAGCGATTCTCCCGGGCCCGAGTCCCCTCTCTCCCGAGCTTCACGCCCACGGTCCTTCTGCCCCGGTTTCCCTTGCCCAGGCTCCCCGGGCCCCAGGGCCCCCCGACCGGGCCCTTCCCGGGTTGTTCCCACCGGGCTGAGCCCCGGGTGTCCGGGCCCCTCCTCCAGATTCCGCTACCCCAGCGGCGGGGCTCTGTAGCGCAGACCCCATGCTCCGCCTGGACCCACTTCCTCCCCAGGCCCTCTTAGCCCATGCTCCAGAGCCCTGGTGACCACTGCCCCTCCCTGCTCCCGGGCCTCCAGCAGGACTCCCCAGAGAGGGCCAGCAGGAAGACACATGGAAATTTCTATCATCTATATTTTTATCTTATCCCTCCGAGTTTCCTTTTTTGTGGCTGTGGAAGTTTTATAATACACACGTATATTAGTATGTGACGGCTGAACGTAACTTTCAAAATATACATCAACTGGAGTGCTCAGAAGTTGCTTACCCAACGGTGTACTGCTGTCGTTGGGAACCCTCTCCCTAGGCTGTGCCTCCTGCATGCCACCCACTTGGCCCTCCACATCTAGGGAGCCCACAAAGGTCCCGGCCATGGTCAACAAGGGGCAGAGCTGGGAGGTGAGTGAACCCAGAGGCATGGGCTGCGAGGCCACACTGCACCCACATGAGAGGCCATTCCAACCCTGTCCACAAGGGCTCACTGCAATGAGAGGGTGTTGTCAGCCCCTCCCTTGAAGGCTCCTCACCGTCCCATCCTCTCAAACCTGTGTCAACAAGGGCACCTCAGGAAGCCAGAACCAAGCCTTCCACACAACCTTGTCCTCGCCTGAGCCCTGTGAGGTGAGTGGGAGCCGTGTGCTGTGGGTGTGGGCTGCAGGAGGTGGCCTGACCATCACAGCCCCAAAGGCAGGGCTACTGAACCCCCAGTTCCCAGCCTCCGAGAACAGCACCCTGAGGAGCCGTCAGGAGCTGGCCCCTCCCAGCCTCTCTGAGGTGTTGGTCCAGGCACAGCCAGGGGCATGAGGACTTTAATTCATTTGTTTAGGTACTGAGGATCAAACCCAGGGCCTCCCAGGAGCTAAGCATAGACTGTACCACTAAGCCACCCCTTCGGCCCCTCCAGACTTTTTAAATCATCCAGGGGTCTCTCACATGCAGCTGGGATGGAGAACTGAGAAGGGAAGGCCAGAAGGTGCCCAGGACATGGCTGAAAATCCTCCAGCTTCTCCCTGCATTTCTGCCTGGACACCATCCAGGCAGCTCTGGCCCGAGGCCTGGGGCTGGGGGCTTCTCATGTGATCATGAAGACTTGGCCAGTTCAGCTCCTCCTGCTGCCAGAGGCCTCCCTGAGCGATTCTCCAGGCCACAGTCCCCTCTCCCGAGCTTCTCCCCCATGGACCTCTGCCCCTGCTGACCACTGACCCAGCAGTCCAGGAGGGAACACAGATTAGGTGCTAAGTGCTAGGTCCTGGCCCAGGTGAAGGTGGCATATGTTAATTAGCAGATCCCTGGACCCCAGCAGCAACATCTGGAAGCAGGTTAGAAATGCAAACTCTAGGCCCAGGCCTCCTGCACCGGGAACTCTAAACATCAGTAATGTTTTCTGTTTGTTTCTGTTGTTGTCTTGTTTGGGCAGTGCTGGGGTCAAACCCAGGTCCAGTGGTAGAGCAAGAGCTGAGGATCGAACCCAGGGCCTCGCACGTGCTAGGTGAACGTTCTACCCTGAGCCCCAGCCCCAGCCCCAGCGAGTGTTTTAATGAGCCCTTGAGAGGGATGTGTGAGGACCTCTGTAAGGACGAAAAAGGCCTGTCCTCAGCACCTCCTCCCTTCCACCCAAGTGGACGGGGCCAACCACTGGGGACAGGCTTAGAGACCTCGAGGAATGCAGCCAATCTCGGGCCTCAGCTTCTCATCCAGCACATGGGGAGGAGGTCCCACTCCTCTGAGTGGCCGGAGGATTAAGTGAGCAAGTCCTGATGGACTGCAGCTAGAAGGGCCTCCGGGCTCCTTTTGCAGAGTGGCCTGAAGGAGCCCAAGGGGAGGAGTGGGAATGGGACCCAGGACCCCTTGTAATCAGGAAGACAATGGGGACAACAGGGGACGGGCCACTTCCAGCAGGAGGGTTCATGAAGGAGGTGACGGTGGAGCCTCGGAAAAGGGAGGTTGGCGGAGATGAGGAGGACAGAGCAAAGCCTGGTGTTGGAGCCCTGCAGGGGGCTGGGAGTGGGGTCCACAGGGCCCGAGTGACTTTCTGTAGAGGACGGGGAGCCAACGGGTTGTGAAAGGAGGACCCCACTCTGCCAGTAGCCCACGAGGGAGAGACCCCCGGGGGATGCGGCAGTAAGCCAGCCCGGGGCTCCTCGGGCAGGAGTCCCAGCGCCTTCCACCTTGGCCGTTCCTGGACTGTCCCGCAGCACTGAGGGCTCTCCCGTCTCTGTGGCCTCCTCGTCCCTCAGGCCAGGCAGCCTGCTGGGGCCCTTCCCGGAACAGGATGTGAGAGAGACAGGAGGCGGTGGTAGGGCCTTCTGCTGCGGGGAGACTGGCCCTGGGCGGGCAAACTCACAGAATGCCACTGTGTGGTGGGGAACTGGAGGGCTCTGGGGTCGCCCATGGGAATGGATTCAGCTTCCTGGGCCTGCAGGCAGCAGACGGGCCTCCCCAAGAGACCGCTTCTGGGTCCCCCTGCATGCCTCACATCCTCCCCAACCCACCCCCAGCAGGAGCGAGAACAGGCTCAAGAAGGGGATTTTGCTGGGAGCTAAGAAAGAACAGCCTTGTCCCCTGGAGAAATGACAGGCAGGTAGCTGAGGGGTGGGCAGGCACAGGCGGCATCCTCAGGACCGTGAGTGGCAGGCCACAGAGCTGACTCCAGGTGGCTGGGGAGACAGGGCACCACCAAGGGCCAGCCCAGCTGGTCTGGGGACACCTGCACTGAGTCTCCCCGTCACCCTGCCCACTGCTCCCTGGACAGGAGGGCCACCCCTCAGATCAGCTCCTGAAGTCACCAGGCCTCAGCAGCGCCCCCTGAGAATGGCCAGAGGGGGAGCCAGGGACAGGGCAGTAATTGGCTGGGTCAATAGACACTTGGGCCAAGTGTCCATTCCTGGACAGATCCGTTACCCCCTGGGGCAGCCAGTGGTTGACCAGGCAGGCTCAGCAGGAGAACAGTGGAGACAAATGGTTACCTGACCATGGGGGACGTGGTCCTTGAAGAAGCAGCCGGAGTGAGCCTTTCCTGCCCAAGTCCCTGAACCTGGTCAGAAAGCCATGGGCTGAGCAGGAAGTCATGGCGCACGCCTGTGATCCCAGCAACTCAGGAGGCCGAGGCAGGAGGGTCGCAAGTTCAAGGCCAGCCTCAGCAACTTAGCGAGGCCCTAAGCAACTTAGAGAGACCCTGTCTCTAAATAAAATATCAAAAATGGCTGGGGATGTGGCTCAGTGGTTAAGTGCCCCTGAGTTCAATCCCCAGCACCAAAAAAACAAAAGATAAAACCACCAGCTTGTCTGGCAGCCCCAGATCCAAGCTCAGGTGAGATGCCGGGCTGCAGGGCTAGTGGGTCCTGATCCCCATCTCATCTGCTCCCACAGCCATCTGTGTCCCTGGACCCCGGGATGTGTGGCCCTGGTCTGGCCTTAGTGCTCAGGAAGGCCCTACTCACCCCACCCATCTCTCAGTTCCCTCCTGCAGCCGCCAACCAGGCCACAGCACTGGTGGTGATGTGGCTTGGTCTCCTCTTTGTCCATGTCACCTGGATCGCTGGGCATCCCCCTGTGTTCCACTTCCTAGGCGGGTACCGGGCAGTGATGACGCAGGTCTCACTTGAAAGAGGTGCAGACTGAGTTATCATTTCCTCATTTGCTGTAAAAACAAACACTTTTTGTTGCCGCTAAAAAAAGACGTGGTGTCTGGGTCTCAGGAAAGTACCTGGACGGGGCAGTCCTGCCTCCAAAACAACCTCAGTCCCTGGCTGCTGCTCAGAGTTTCAGTGACCATGTCCTGATAACTAAGAGACTGATCTCATTCATTCATTCAGCAAATTCTCGTGGCTGGTGGCTCACACCTGGAATCCAGCGACTTGGGAGGCTGAGGCCAGAGGATCACAGTCTCAGCAATTTAGTGAGACCGTGTCTCAAAATTTAAAAATACGAAAAAGAAAAAGGCGGGGGTGTAGTTCTGGGTGAAGCTCCCTTGAGTTCCATCCCTAGTAACACACACACACACACACACACACACACACACGGAGGCTGAGCCCCAGTTGGGGGACAGGCACTGTTTCCATTCGGGCCGGGGAACACTGGACAGTAATAGGCACATTCTGCACGTGTTCCAGTTTGAGAGACCCTGGGGCCGATGCTCTTGCCCTCCGGACTCTCGTTCTGGAAGCCGGCAGCGTGTGCTGGGGTGGGACAGGCCCCTGAAGGTGACCCCAGGGTTTGGTGTGGGCAGCGGCAAGGGTTGGCTCCATCAAGTGCAGCTGGAGGAGACCCGTCAGCGGGGACGGAAGGCGGGTAGGAGGCCTGGGCATTAGGAACCCAGGAGCCTGGGCAGCCGGGAGAAGAGGGAGTGACGGCCAGCCTTCAAGGAGTGGGATGAGGTGGTCGCTTTGGGAGGGGGCAGGGAAGACGGCCCAGAGATATCACAAGGATGCCGACCTCCAGCCCCGTCCATGAGGTTCCGGGGGACAGGCCACCACCAAGATGGTGCCCGGGCAGGAGGGACCTGGTTCCCATAAGATGCAGACAACAGGAGGCTGGCCGAGGTGCCTGGGTGCCCAGGGGGAGCTCAGGACTGGGTGGTGAGAGGCAACTCACAGCGGGACTAGAAGGGTGGGCAGGGGATGAGGTGACCCGGGCTGATGCAAACGTCACAGCCACATCCTCATTTCCAGGGAGGAGTGTCTGACTGAAGACAGATTTAAACTACAGTTTGCTGGGCACAGTGGCACCCACCACCGGCGATTTGAGAGGCTGAGGCAGGAGATCACAAGTTTGAGGCCAGCCTCGGCAACTTAGAGAGGCCCCATCTCAAAACAAAGAATAAAATAGGCTGGGGATGTGGCCCGGTGGTAGAGCACCCCTAGGTTCAGTCCCAATAAACAGAGTTTAAGTCGCTGGAGCAACAGCAAAGGACCCTTGATGGGTGGCCTCCAGGTAGCTCTGAAGCCAGTTAGGATCCTCACGTGGGGGTCTAAGATTGTACAGAACGGTTCTGTGGGTGGGTGGTGTAAGTGCCCTGTGGCTACCTTAGCAGCAGGCTGAGATGAGGCACGTGTTCTCTTGCAGTGTTGGAGGCCAGTCCAGAGTCTAGCTGCAGGCAGGCCGTCTCCTTCTGGAGGCTCCAGGGCAAGCCTGTCCCTTACTCTCTTTTGACTTCTGCTAGGTGTCCACCCGGGTCTGCTGTCCTCTTCTGTTAGGCTCCACCCTGATCCAGCATAGATTACTGAGGAGAAGTGAATCACTTAACTTGATCGCATCTGCAAAGACTCCATTTTCAAATAAGGGCCCATTCAGAAGCGCTCAAACATCACCTAACTCTATCTATCTGTCTATCTATCTATCTATCTATCTATTTTTGACACTGGGGACCGAACCCAGGAACACTTAGCCACCGAGTCCCTCCCCAGACCTTTTACTTTTTTATTTTGAGACAGGATCTCACTCGGTTGCTCGGCGCCTTGCTAAGTTGCTGAGGCTGGCTTTGAACTTGTGATCCTCCTGCCTCAGCCTCCCGGGTCACTGGGACTACAGGCGTGCGCCCCTGCACCTGGCGTGGAATGTGACCTTTTGGGAGGCCATACTTTTACCCTGGACAGGTGGTCTTCTTGCTGTAAACCAGCCCCCTGGGCCTCAGGTGTGAGGGGTTGCAGTCCCTGGGGATGAGACTCCAATTTCCAAACTTCCAGTTATCCTGGAGGCAAGTCCACCGGGAGGTGGGGTCGCCCCGGGGCCTCGAGCCAGGCTGGCACCAGGCCGCCGCCGACAGCTTCCGGTTTTCTGGTTTTCTCTTTCTTTTCTTTTTTCTGTTGCTGGAGATCAAACCCAGGGCTTGTGTGTGCTGAGCACATGCCCTACCCCGAGTTGTACCCCAGCCCCCTCCCCCGTTTCCTCCTTTAATCTCCATTTGGTTTAGCCTCCAGTCCCCAGAGTCACCTTGATGTCACTTTATTAAATTGAAAGTGTTTCATTTCACCATTTCAATCTCCTGACACAGAAGTTAAACGAGAGACCACCCTTTGCTGGTGGGCGAGACCCATGATTGGAGCAGCCACAGGAACAGAGCACACTCATCCTGTGGACCAAAGAGTGACACCCACCAGGCCCAGCCACAGGCGCACGGCTGGAGTCCCGGCACCTCCGGAGGCTGAGGCAGGAGGATGGCAAGTTCAAAGTCGCCTCAGCATCATTTCGGTGAGGCTCTGGCTCAAAATAAAGAGTAAAAAGGGCTGGGGATGTGACTTGGAGGTAAAGTGAGAGCCCCTGGAAACCAGTTATTAAGGACTTCTCTGAGGCCATATGCAAATCCGGCTGCTACTGATGGCATCACAGGGGAAGTGGGGGGGGGCGGCTTTTCTTTTCACTTTCTTTTAAGTCAAGACCATTTCCCTTCACAAAGCCACACTTCGCCCTGGACCCCCATTCCCCGACCTGAGACAGCCCCAGGCCCAGGGCCATCTGTGGACCAAGAAGGTCTGTTGGCCCCGGAGTTTGCAATGACAGAGGTATCGGTAGAGATCTGTGAATCAGTGCCCCAGAGAGTGACTTCCGCTCCAGCCAAAGAGCTACATTCTGTAAAAAAGATTTTGCATGAAAGGCTGTTTGGAAGAAAAGAGCAAAGCACCCCCACCCCTTCAAAATAGGGGATTCTCAGCTGGGCATGTGGCGCCCACCTGTGATCCCAGCCACTTGGGAGGCTGAGGTAGGAGGATAGCAAGTTCAAGGCCAGCCTCCGCAATTTAACAAGGCCCTAGACAACTCGGTGAGACCCTGTCTCAAAATAAAATATATAAAGGGCTGGGGGTGTGGCTCAGTGGTTAAGCACCCCTGGGTTCAATCCCCGGTACCTACCTATGCCACCTAAAAAAAAAATCTGAAGCTTTGAAAGAGGCACAGATGAGGTCATCTTTGTTGGAGCCTGCCCGGGAGCTCACTGGGAGGCGGCTGTGGGCTCTCCACTTCAGTCTCAACCTGTGACCTACTGCTGCTCTGTCCCGGCCGCCCTGGGGATGGGACCCAGGGCCTCCTATCTGCTGAGCGCGTGCTTTCCTGCTGAGCTACACCCCAGCCTGCATTGCTTTTTAGACAACCATGTTCTTCTACACGGACCACCACCTTCTGTTGACCCACTCAACTGCTGACGCCCATGTGGGCCGCCTCCTGCTTCAGCCGGAGGGTGCAGCTCAGGCGAGTGTGGACTCGCGGCTGCTAGGGCGTCTCAGAGCTGCGGGAGCATGCGCAAGTGGAGTCACTGAGCTGGGGGTGACCCCTCGGCTTTGGGAAGGAGTGCCAGGCCAGGACTTTCTTACGGTGCTGATTAATCTTTCTTTCTCTCCTCAACCCGTCACCTCCCAGGTGTCAGCCCGAGATCTCCACTGCCCCAAGTCCTGCAGGGTTTTTCCCAAAGGCAGAGAGCGCCAGGGCAAGACAGTGGGGACAGGAGACAGGCTGCCTCCCCGAGGCCATCCTTAGTCCCACGGGACCTGGCCACAGGGCAGACCCGCCCCTGGCTGGGGGCCTCCAGAGCAGGTGAGGGAGAGCTGGGGGTGCAGGTGACCAGGCCTGACCTCTGGCTGACGGGCACTTTTCTCAAGTTCCAGCAGTAGATCCTCACAGCCACCAGCGCTGCAGCTAGGTGCCCAGCTGCAGAGGTGGACACCACGCTCTTGGAGGCTGAAGAAGTTGCCCTGGGCCATTTCAGACGTCTCTCTGACGGGCTGCAAACCCTGCCTTCCTCCAGCTAGATCCTCACTCAGGCGTCCTTGGGAGCCAGGGCAGTGGGAGCCAGGACCTGTTGCCTACCTTCCTGGGGTGGGACCAGGACCCCCATCCACTCTCTGACCCACACCTGAAGAAGACCAGCCACATCTGTAATCCTCAGCTCAGGAGGCTGAGGCAAGAGGATTGCAAGTTCAAGGCCAGCCTCAGTATCTTAGCAAGACCCTGTCTCAAAATAAAAAGTTATAAAAAAAAAAAAAGCGTTGGAGATGTGGCTCAGTGGTCTAGTGCCCCTGGGGGAAGGAGGAGGAGGAGGAGGAGGAGGAGGAGGAGGAGGAGGAGGAGGAGGAGACCAACGAGAAGAGGCAGCCTAGAGGCAGGGACACCAGGGCCTGGAGGCCAACAGGTGGAGGTTTGGTTCCCACGCCTCGGCTGTGGAGTCCAGGACGCTCAACCTCTGGGCCTCGATTGCTTCATCTGAGAAGAGAATGGAACCATCCCAGGGGTCCTAGGAAAGGATGAGGTGAGAACTTTTGTAGGTGGCAAGGATAAACCAGCCCTGGGATCAGGACTAATCCCTAAGGATGTTCAGAGCATTGGGCACAAGGTTCTAGAGTCCAGAGTCTTCTAAGATAGTTCTTGTCCCAAAGAAGCTCTCTTCCAGGGGGCAAGGCAGGGCTGTGGAGAGGACAGAATCAGGACCCTTTGGTGGGACAGACCATCTTTTTAGTTTGTTTTTTGGGGGGTACTGGGGATGGAACCTGGGGATGCTCTACCACTGAATGACATCCCCAGCGCTTTTTATTTTTAAAAATATTTTTTAGCTGTCATGGACCTTTATTTTGTTTATTTATATGTGGTGCTGAGACGCAAACCCAGTGCCTCACACATGGGAGGCAAGCGCTCTGCCACTGAGCCCCAGCCTCAGCCCTTATTTTTTATTTTGAGACAGGGTCTTGCTAAGTCGCTGAGGCTGGCCTCGAACTTGCAACCCTTCTGCCACAGCCTCCTAAATTGCAGGGATTACTGGTGTGTGCCACTGAACCCAGCTGAAATTCAAATTTAACTGAGCACTTTGTATTTTCATTTGTTAAGTCTGGCAACTGAAATACATACTACACAAGAATAAAACTAGAAGTGAAGTTTTACGGTACACATTGCAAGTAGACTGGAAGCCCAGACTGAGTAATGGAGTGGGTACTCTGGCAGGCTCCCTGGAGGAGGTGGCAGTCGTAGCTAAGCCTCCTGGCTGGTTAGGCATTTTGTAAGGAGGAGACTCACTGGGGAGGGGGTTTAAAAACCTCCCAGTCATGACTATATGACCCTCTCCCACCCCGCCAGAGCCAGTGTCCCAGCTGCAGGCTGACTTCACCTGGCAGGACAGAGGGTCAGGCCCTAGGGTGGCGATGTCCCACCCATCACCTGCAGCCTGGTTGGAAAGGGCGGGCACCTCCCCAGGCGGCAGACGATGCTCCACAGGCGGCCTGCCAACTTCTCCTTCCTGGCATCCCGGATGTTGGGCTGGTTCAAGTGCCGGGCTGTAGGCAGTGCAGTGCTCAGAGCAGCACCTTTGACTCGTGCCCCCAGGTGAGGGAGGCTGGCACTTCTGGGTGGGGCCGGGATCCTGCTAGAGTGCCCAGGAGGAGGGGTGGGAAGCAGAGCAGGAAGGGCCCAGGAGGCAGCCGTGTAAAGGGGGCCCAGACCCGCAGGCTCTGCCGCCCCTGCTGCCACAGGTGAGCTGCCCCTGGGCCCCACCCTCGTGTTGGCCACAACCTCACCTCCATCGCAGCTGTTGCCTCTGGGTGCTGGCTGCCGAGGGGTTCAAGGCAGGAGAGGAGAGCTGGCGGCCACCCTGTGGACAGCTGGGCCCTGCATCGGGGCAGTGGGCAGTGGGCTTGTAGGGCAGAGCTGCTGCCAAGGCCAGAAAGGCTGTGCCAACAGGCATGACTCCAAGGCAGGCGTGAAGGGCCTGCGGTGTGCTGAGGGTCTGCCCAGCCTCGAGCGTGCCTGACGCCTGACACTGACCGGCACACCCAGCCAACCTGCAGGGGAGGCAGCTGACCTCCGGCTCGGGCACTTTCTTCTGTTCCTCGTGACTCAGATGATGCCTCCCAGGGACCAGGGTGAGCCAGGAGTTTCTGCCGCCAGGGGAATCCCATGGGTCAGTCTCTCGCAGGTGGTGAAGGAACGGGACTGGGCCTCCTGGGGTCCCCTCTCCAGGACCATCCCTTCACCGACAGTGAAGTGGCGCGGGCCTTTGTGCGCAGGCCCACGGCAAGCCTTCAGTGGTGGCTGCTGCCTCTCCTGGCAAGGCTGTCCTGTTCAGAGGCCAGATCCTGGGGTAGAGATGGGCTCCACTGACCCCCAGGGGCCCGCCCCCACCCTCTTGGCATTCAGCCCACTTGGTCAGGTGGGTGAGTAGGCTTCCTGCCTCTCCTCATGCCCAGGGCACTGAAGCAGGCACTTGGCACCATGAAGCTGCCAGAGGCCTCCTGAGGGGTGACTGACAGGTGAGCCCTCCTGACCTGAACCCTCAGCTCCTTTGTCATGAAGGAGGAGCGTCCCCTGCCCTGCCGCCTGCAGGGGACCCCACCACTGGAATGAAGAAGAAGCCCTGGGTGGCTGGGGATGCAGGGACGAAGGGCAGACAGCGAGAACTGATTTGTGGGAACAGAGGCACCTTCTCCTGCCTCCTCCGCATCACAAAGCAAAAGAAAAAAGGAAGGAAGGAAGGAAGGAAGGGAACCCAGGGAAGACGGGGTTCATTTGTTTGCTTGCTTATTTCTGTGGTTCTGGGGATTGAACCCAGGGCCACTCTATACTGAGCTACATCCCCAGGCATTTTCTTTTTAAAAAAATACTTAGATTTGTTTTCATTCTCTATTTGGCGATGGACAGCTTGCCTTTATTTTACTTATCTTTATGTGGTGCTGAGGGTTGAATCCCGCGCCTCACAGGTAAGCTGCGCCCCCGCCCAAGCCCTTTTCATTTTTATTTTGAGACAGGGCCTTGCTAAATTGCCCAGACTGTCCTTGAACTTGAAATATTCCTGCCTCAATCTCCTGAGTGCCTGGGGTTACAGGCACGTGCCACCACGCCTGGGGGAAACTATTTACTATCTAAGCAAATGCTTTGCCACGGAGCTACATCCCAGCCTGCTTTTAACTATTCACATGGATCCCACAACAGCATGTTAAACAATAAGATTTATTAAAAACAAAAACAGGTGGGCATGATGGTGCATCCTGTCATCCCAGTCCCTCCTGAGGCTCAGGCCGTCTGGGTGACAGAACCTCAGCAACTTAGCCTAAGACCCTGTCTCAAAGTAAAAAATAAAAAGTGCTGGTATGTAGCTCAATTGTAAAGTGCCCCTGGGTACAATTCTGGAGGGGGAGGAGGAGGAGGAGGAAGAAAGAAAATGAAAGGCTCGTAGAGTGTCGGGCCTTCAGCATCTTAGGGGTCCATGGGAAGGACATCTGTGTGGACCCCTGTGCTCACCTCCCAGCAGGTGGTCACCATCCATCCAAGTGGTCACCCAAATGTGGGGAGGAGGCGGAGGACCACTGGTGACAGGCCAGGTCCTCCCCACCCCTGCCCCCCCTGCCCTGTGGTGCCCCGTCCCCAGGCTCACCTCTCTCTGGCCTGCTCACTAGGTACAGGGGCCCTCACCGTCCTCACCTGCCACTAGCAAAGGGTGTAATTCTTCCCTGGGAGGCAGCACGTGGCGACCCCCGCCCGAGACGCCCCTCGGTTCCCACGGTCCGCACCCCGGCGAGCGCCAGCTCTCCGGCTCCCGTCTCAGAGGCTCTGAACCTCTTTTTGGTGTGGGTCGGAGGGCGCCGGGAAGAGGCCAGAACTGAGCTGACTTCGGCCCCCGCCTGCCTCCCTGGGAGCCTGGGCTGTGTGCACACCTCCTAGGGACCTGGAAGCGCGCGGCCACTCGGCCCAGCCCGGGAAGGGTGAGGAAGAGGGGGTCCCGACCCGAGGAGGAGGAGCGACGGGGAGAGGTCGCGGGCTGTGGCTGCTTTTTGTTTTTTTCTCGGTCGCGCAGCTGGGCACCGAGCCCGCCCCGCGAGCAACGGCGC